ACCACCATAACGCTGACAACGCCACAAAGGGCAAAGCTCATAACCACGCCAGCCTTGCTACGTCACCAATGCGGGGAATCTTTTCTTTCTGTTTTTGTTTGCGTTGGATATCCCACGAAGCATCGCGCTATCCGTTCATTTCTCTTTGAGCGCTTGCTCGAGTGCACAGTTTGGAACAAAAAATATAGCCAGTCGTTCAAAATACAAACGTGCGATTATCATTTATGGTTATTATCTGTCATGCTTGACTCATTTCCGAACGAAATTTGAATATTTCGATTTTTGTTTTTGTACCTCTTTAATATACGATAGATCCTTGCCTGGTTTGTCAAATGGTTGGCGTGCAATATTCGCTGCAGAAGAAGTGATGAAAATGTTTAATTTATTATATTGCGAAGAAATTTTATCTAGAGCTGAAAAGTTTTTTTTGTTTTTTTTTAATTATAAAAATATTAATGTTGTTAAGGGGAGGCATGCAAATTTACAACTGATGAAAACTGTGCCAAATGAACTTAACTTAAAAAAAATTTACATAGAATTACCCCCTTCCCTCTTTTGAATTAAAAGATTTATAATGTCTTTCTGTACCTCACACACTATTGTATCTTCAAGCAAATATTCTTTATTTGGAGATGAACAGTGTATTTGTGTATTTTATATGCATTCCCCTGCACCTTGATGTTTGGCTTGGTGGTTGCGAAGTTCTTTTAATCGTCATTTTTAACACAATCGTCATGACCAGTAACCTGCCATCTGATCTACACGAACGCAGTTCATTCCATTCTATACTTTTCATTGTTTAAGATAATCACAGTCTATATGTCTTAGGTCCCAGCCCAGCATGCACATGTTCATCGCTTTGGAAGGCAAGCAGTGTATGTGCCACACGCATGAACGCTGAAAATGGCATCGACCAGAAGCGCTTTTCAGAAATGCTTTACAGATCTTTTGCTAAATTACTTAAGCACCAAGGAGCATATTCATGCCACAAGAGTAGTCACACGTGCTGACGCCTGCAACAGTAACTTTTCAAAAGAAAATCTAAAACAAATGGCACATTCCTTCAGGTCATATGAGCGTGTGGGGCATCTGTACCCACATTCCGAGCAATTTCCGCGGTGCTTTGCAATTCACAAAAAATTTATTGCGTGACTCTTCGACCTTTCTTCACCAGCCATCTTCTAATAAAAAAAGAATCGATTTACCAGCAATATCACGAAACTAGCGAGGCGCGGCTTGAGCGTAGCGAGTTGCAAAAATGTTTTTATGAAATTCCAATTGCTCCCGTTTTTTTTTTACTTTCTTATAGTTATGCACATAGACCATGGCCATACTTTGTGCAAATATATATAATTATCAACTTTAAACAGCACGAACGCCCAGATTTTTTTGCTGTTAGACGCGAGAAAGGCGGGCGCGAGTGTACCCGATTGCCGGCCGCACGCCTTGCTGCACAAAGTGACGTGACGCTTGGGCGGCGGGGAAAACTGGGGAAAAACTAGGGAGAATGATGTTTCGGGTAACTAGAGTGAGTCTGGGAGAATGCGATAGCATTTCGGAATCAGGAAGCCATCCGCATTCAGATTATGCCCTTGAATTAGGTAGCTCGAAAAGTCGGAGTTCTCCTTTAAAGGGGTACCCGGCATTTTCTTCATTGTCCCCGATTTGCCTAAAACCTTGCTTAACACACCAACGAACATCGCTAAAATAGTAACCCAAATATTTGGCCAAAATAACTTTTTTTCGCGAAGTTACAGAAGTTACAATTAGGGTCATCATTGTGTTTTTCAAAGTGAAAAGCTCTCCTGGCAACATTGAAATAGTGACATCATGGGAAGGCAGGGGTTCATTCACTCTTTGGGCTGTAGACTTTGCTCTCAACTGACCACAAACAGTTTCATGGCGTTAAAAGAATGTTTTGGAAGGTTGCTCCAGCTCCCACGCAGCACGAAACAAATGCTCGGCATAGTTCATTTCTAGACAGCCCGCTCGAACCGCAAGCCTGCCATCCCGTGACGCAGGCACGTAGGCAGGGGGGGGGCCATGGGACCTGGGCCCCACCCCGAAATCTTCCATTTTGCTGGGACCTCCTCTCCCCCCTCCCCCTCATACAGCACTTTGTCATAAACAGGCCCCACCCCCCCCTCGAAACAAAATCCTGGTTATGTGCCTGCCATGATGTCACGGCAATGAAAAGCGCAAGTATACCGTAAAATACCGCGCACATCCGCCCATTCCACATTAAGCGCCCATTACCAAATTTGTGAGATCTAAGGAAATACGTACAGTACATTTATATGTAAAATTGATGACCGGACAAGCGCCCATCCCCCATTTTTTTGCGATTATCTCCAAAGTTTGAGTAGGCGCTTGCCCAGTATTTTACGGTATTTGAATCTTGGTATTGGCGTCATTTTCATTTGCCGACTTCATAATAAATATTTTGAGTTTCGTGATAGTAAATAGCATACCGGAAAGAGTAAAAGATGGCGATTTTGAAAATGTGGTTAGGTGGGGTTGCCCAAAAAATCGCTGGATTTTTTAAGCAGGTCTTTTTTCTGCGAACACGACAGTGGTAGGAACATTACTTGTGTCGAGCTAGGGAAGCCATATTGGGGGCTACCCCAGCTACGTCCACACTGGCTTTCATGGCAGTTATGTGCAATGCAGACAGCTTTCACTATTTCAACCGAGTGCCTAGGCAAACACAGAAGCAGCCACATAAGACAATCAGGAAAAGACGCCGAGTTGTTCAGGCTAAGGAGGAAGGACATAGTGCAGCGAGCTATCTAGTCCAGGCTATTCCTCTGAGAAATGCTGTCGGTGGAAATGTAGGTCAGTTATTCCCGCCATTGATTTAGGTAACTAATGCAAGCATTACACTATTTTGCATATTTCTCTACTGCAACGCTAGTCATCCGCAGCAGAAACAACGCCCCAAACTCAAAAGAAGTCTCGTTGTATTGTTAACACAGACATCAAGTCCATTAGGAAAGGCCAGCAGTGCCATCCACCTGTTCATAAGCGAGCTGGAGTTCATCAAAGCACAACCGAGAATCTCTCGGAAGTACTTGGTTCCTTTTCAGTAGTTATTGAATGAAAACACAGTGCAGTGGTGATTACCATCAGCACAGCCTTGCCACTGCTGTCCCTCGGGTGGCACATGCACGACATGGCCTGCAAGCCACATATATTCCTAAAAGAAAGCTGCATAGGATACACTTACCGTGGCTAGCGTCGCCACCCAGCGAGCTTGCACAAACCCTCTGCACGGCGCGCAGTGCTGTTCAGAACAGAGCGGCACTGGCTAGCCAGTTAATGCGAAGGCTTGTAGTGTCTTGCTGCTGCCTTGGCAAAGCTGCAAGTCACCTCTTTCACGCCTTGTGGTGCCCATCAGCTTCAAAAGAAACGGTGTTGAACCGCGACCAGCTATAACCTGTCGCACAAGGGAAAAAAGGGTGTGAATGTGCAGACTCCTATCTGTTTGCTTTTGTCTAGCGTGTGAGTTTTGTTTGAGAAGAAAACAACAATGACACTTCTTTCACAGTAATATGCAAAACAAAAACGAGAACGGCTCGGTTATTAATAAGTTGTGTGCAGCAGAGGCACGGGTGCGAGGGCGTAGCTCCGCAGAATGTTCTTTTTGCACGGCTGCTCGTGCAAAAAGGGCGCTTTTGTGCTCGGGCCTGTGCCTTTTCTGCACACAACCTATGTTACAGAGTGTATAGCACGCCTTCGAGAGCACTCGCGTGCGGCGAGAAATCCATAATATACAGGGTACGATCGCAGGAAACCTCGCAGGGGTGCAGGAAGCTGCAAGTGCACGGTGCACCAGAATGTGAAACTAGAGGTGGTGATAGAATTTCAGTTCAAGAATATGACGTTACTGGGGTCAAAATATAGAAACGAAAAACGTAACTGCCTTACCGGCTGATGATAAGGGCCATCGGAGCACGACCAACTATTTGTCGTGATCGGGGCATTCGATTGGACGCGGGTTGGTAAAGATTTGAAAAACACGAAAGAATAAAACATGTAGGGACGAAGACAGACAGCGCAGTTCTTTGTTGACATGAAATGTAAGATCAAGCACATTATTCTGTCGGATCAAATGGTTTTGTTGAATTAGGTTTAGCTCGCAAGTCAGCCGTTCTTCGGCGGGCTTTCAGCTTTCTGCGATGGTTGTTTTAATCGTGAACGCAGGCTCAAACAATGTAGGCAGCGGCGCCAAATAGATCTGAAACGAAGAAACAGGTCGGACGCGTGGAACGAACACACATAGAGATCACATCACAGGAAAACTCAAACCACTCACCTTTCGTTCGACGACAGTTCGTCAGGCACGATGTTTCCGATGTTTCTCCGGGTGTTGAGGAGACCGCGTCTGTTTCCGTGCTCCTATTGGTCGTGACGTCACCAAATTTCATCCAATAAAGTACGCGCCGAAGTTCTCTCTAGTCGCCGGTGTTTTTTGTAGGGGTGTCGCGAACTTCTGTCGAACCAGATTTTTTGGTCGAACTTTCGGGGTTCGACTGGATCGAACCGGTTCGACGACCCTTCGAACTTTTCATTAAGGGGTATTCACACGAGGGAGAAATCCCGGGGATTTCTCCCCGGCACGCGCGCATCACGAGATGAAAACGCGAGGCTTTTGCACATCGCAAAGCTTGACGTTTTCGTCGTGGAATGCGCGTGCCGGGGAGAAATCCCCGGGATTTCTCCCTCGTGTGAATACCCCTTTAGATTCGACCGGTTCGACCTTGTGAACGGTGTGGCCAGACCTTGATACAAGTATGTCTAAGTTTGGAAACAAAAATTTTTATGCAAAGGGTTATTTTATATTGTGAGCAACTGCAATTAAAAGAAACTAATTCTAATCACTGTAGAAGTTAATAACTTAATTTTGGTACTGTATTAACTGAAATAGTCCATCAGCGCTGCACTTAATTAATCTCTTAGCCATTATCATCCAATCCGAAGCCAACTGGCCAGCTTGTCGCGCATGCGCACACGAGTCGAACCTAAATAAGAGGTTCGTCGAACTTTCCACTAAAAGGTCGAAAAGTCGAACCTGGTCGAACTCGAACCGCGGCCGATTCGCGACACCCCTAGTTTTTTGTTTTCGCGTACACGCCCTTGCTTGTATTTCCTCACGAAAACAAACTCCCCCCAACAACTGTAAGTACGCTTAATATTTCGTCCCCATTTAAGTGTGTGTTTCGTGTACTACAACCTTTTACGTAATTTACTTGCCTACTTTATTTCAAAAGCTGTTCCGTGCGAATGCCTTGATGCGCGGAGCTAAAATCTGTGGAATGCCTACGTGTTATAAGGGCCTGAAGTTACTGAACCGCAAACGTCCCGTCGGAGATGCCCTAAGGAACCTCGTATTTATCGATGTAAATTGTCATATATATATATACTGCGTTGTGTCTGCCGTCAAGTGCCCACGTTCCTTTACTTTGGGAATACTTTGGTGATGGTTCGTTCGGTGAATGGCCATGGATGAAATTGGCCTCGTGTGAAAAAACATGGCAGGCGGGACCAAGCTCTACTCCACCGCTTTCGCTCGACTATTCGCATAATCTGTTTTTTTCCGTGTTATAATAACTATTGTGCGTGGTTATCATGAACAGCTTCGCGGAACACCGCGGCATCGGGAGCAGGACTTCTCAAAAACGTGTCCACCTCTTTCGTAACACTGTCTTGCCCGCCGGTGTGCAATATCGGGCATCACTTCCTTCTCTGGTCTTTACAGGCATGGTCACCGGCGTCGCTCATGCTAAGGGTGCCGCAAAAAGCGGTAGACCGTGGACGCGGTGTATTCTCCTGGATTCAGTAGTTTTATTTTCTCCAAAAAGATGGTACACAAACTGGCTGGTGGGGTTTAAACATCCGTTAAAGGGGTACGGAAACGAAATTTTAGGGCTCATTTTATTGCTTAGATATATACCACGACGCATCAGCTCCTGAGAAACAGCAGTATCTCGTTTTTAAACGAAAAAAAAAAAAAAAAAGAAGTAATTTTTAAATCAATAAAAAAATGTTTACACTTGCACCTGGTAATTGGAGGGTCGAAGCTGTTTGGGGGTCGTGACGTGTTGCTCCTCCCGCCTTGGCGCCACCCTCGGCAGCACACCATACTATTCCCAAACGTAGTTCCGTCTTATGCCTCAGGTGCAAACCGATCACCTGCATGGTGACAACCTTGGCAATGAGAAATATGAAAGGTGACCCACTGTCCTCAGGACTCCGGGTCTTCCTACCGAAAATTCACAACTTTCAGCGATGGGGGTACCGCGGTGTGAGAATCGCGCTCCCTAGCTCCTGGATGATTGGCCTGGGCTTGCCTACACCTTCCTGGCGTGAACAAATAACGAAAGGCTCTAATACTGTGTGTATGTAGCAAAACTAGAATCTTTTACGCGTCTCACACCCAGCCTCCTACCGCTGTTCTACGACGATTCTCCAGATGAAAGCCATTTTTATAGGCACCAGCGCCCCTATAGGTTGTGAAAGTTGCGAATATTAGTTTGCTACGAAAGGTTGTGCCGACTATTTTCCAAAAAAAAGAAAACCCGGAGAGCTTAGCGAACCGCATGAAAAGCGAAGCAAACTTGCTAGTGAGTACGCTATTAATAAAGCACCTAATGACACATACCTCCAAGTTGGCCAATCATTATTAAATACGAGGCATTTCTTTGCGACCGCGGCCTCCTTCAGATTTTGTCGGGCGGACGGTCTTTCTGTCGAATGGTTCATACAATTCTAGCCCGAATCGCCTGTCCGTCACCATGTGCAAGAGTGACTGTTCGTCCTTGCTGACGTCTTCAGAGTCCCCTTGGTAGTCTAAATCCTCATCCTCTCAAGTTCATAGATCATGGCGGAATGCTCCGTGGACTACAAGGGCCGAAATGAATGCGTCACGACGGTCGTTGCGCAGCTGTGCAGTCCTCAGCCACTCCGAAACACGAGGAGACTAACATGCAAAAGCCACCGCTTGGCGGCGCTCATAATGACGCCAGCTTTTGGCTGTGCTAAGGAGCCTGATGTCATGCTTGCGACGGAGTTCGAAAAACTCATTGCAAGCTTTGATGACCGATTTCGAAGCGCTTGCTAGAATCGGACGCTTCAAACAAAAAATATAACCGTCTGCTCGAAATACGAACGTGCGATTGTCATTTGCAGATATCGTAAGTCATATTTCACCCATTTTAGAAAAGTTTTCATATATTTTGATTTTCGTTTCTGTACCTCTTTAAGACAAAACCCCGAGACTCTGGTTGAAAACGAACGACACAACAATAGGGGTTTTATAATAAACGCTAGAGGTTCAACTGGCTCTAGTGTGCTGTCGAAAGTTGAAACGGACAGCGGCCAGTCGGAATTTGAATTACGGTAATGCATTTCTATGGGAAAAGTGAGTGCATTCTCTATCTGCACACAATTATAATTAGGGTTCTGCGTTTTCTGTGTTTGTTTTTTTTTCTCGAAATTGAGGATATTTTTTTTTTTCTGGGTTTAATTTTCTCCTACAGATTTGGTGTTTTTTGTGTAAATTAGTTAAGTCATAACCAATTTACACAAAGAACACCGATTCTGTGGGAAAAAATTAAACCTCGACAAAAAATAACCCCATTTTGAGAAAAATGAATAAAAATGCAGAACCCTAATTATAAGTAAGATTACGTGTTTTCTGACTTTATTTTTCACCAAATTTGGAGGATGGATGATCATAGCTGAAACAATACATCAAAGCGATGCTGCATACTCCACTAAAACCGATTTTAAAAATGCGACCAGCTGCTCTTTAACGGGCTGCAAGCAGGTTAGTTCTTAGTCAAGGAACACTAGCACAGCACCCTTGTGACATCACGTCACGGCGGAGTTGCAGTTGATTGGTTGTACCGCGTACCGCAGCACCACGGTGATGTCACGTTGCGGCCGTGCTGCTGATGATCAGTGTTGCCAATGCCATTCCTCTAGATAGTTCCGGTTTTGCCCTAGACACCCAATAGTCGCGGTTTTGCCGTAGACGCTTGAAACCAAACTTTGAGCCGTGATATTTACAAAACTGCACGCAGTATCGAGAGGTAAAATGTATACCTTTTAATTCAGAGACACTGCTTTAGCTGAAAACAGTAGTAATCTCAAATTTGAAAATATTGACCGGAGTATCCCTTTAAAATCAATAAACTACTGGAGGTAGTCGCTAGGAAACTCGTATGCATCCCATCCTATCCATCAACCTACCCCGCGGCTGCGATGGGTAGAGTGGTAAAAAGCGTAGTATAGGGGCTTCAACTGCCTGCCCCCTCTTCCCCCTCCTATAGACCTTTCCAGCGGCACTCTCAAACGAAGCGATTTACAGCGCGTGTCCCTGGTTTTGAGAGTGTACGTCAGTGTTGCCCGACTGCGCTGAGCTGTGGAGTTTCTCGTCAGTGGGCTCTGGCAGCCTGCGTAGGCGCAATTTCAGACGCTGGTGGCGACTGAATTGCCGCGTTTTATTTTTTATCTTGTGTTCTGTGGCAAACATGATTTATAGAGGTCTTTAAGAAAGTAGTGCTCTATTTTTGGGAACAAAAACAAAGAAATGAAAGCTGTTTTGGTAAGTCGGTGCGCTACAGAACAAATGCAACTAGAATGTTTGTTTCATTTTATGTTCCTTGTTTTACGGCACCGCACACTCAGCCCTGGCAATCTATAAAGGTCAAAATGTTTGACCACACAGGATATCCGTAATCCATGAATATTCCCCGCCCACAACATGAAATTCAACGAGTCTCATCAATCGAACAAAAAATATATTGTACATACCCCACGGTGCCGCGTTATCCGAACAGGATTTGAGAAAGGTCTCAACACAGCATATCCAAAATACAATGTCGACGATAGTCACTTCACGACGATCGGGTGTAATCCGGCGTGTTTTGGGGAGCGTGTAGAAGAGAGCTCCTTTTTTTGCACAGCTTCATAGCGAATGAACGAACGTGCTTATTCTGTCGCCACACCCCGGACCCGACCCTATCAGCTAGTTTTTGCGAAGACCCAGAACACAGCCTGGAAGGCTTTCTGGAGATTATCTCGACGGAAATAATCTTCCAAGGACGTCGAACCGCCTGCGGCGCGGGCTGCTTGACGCTCGCTCTCTTCGTTCGTTTCCTGCGAAGGCCGAGCGGGCTACGAGCCCTGGTATTCCCTGGTTCTCACAGTGGAAGATAACATACAAAGGGTAAGCATCCTAAACAGGCAAATAAAATAAAAACTTCCAAGAAAAGCCGCCGAACTCCGAATGCACAATGCAGGTGGGGAGTCACGCTGACCGGGTTGCCACAGCTCAGGCGGGTGCCAGAAATTTCTGGCTGGTAAAGGTCGCTCGATTCGCAAAATGGCGGCAGCTAGAGCGCTCTTATTGCAAAGGTCTGTAGAATGTCTACAGTTCACAGCTTTCAGTGCTACGAGAGCACAACCCCTTGTTCCTCTTAGGAGGACAGTGGCCTAAACTGAAAAAGTTTAGGCCACTTTTGTCGTGACCCGAATGACCCGTTGTCCCGCTGAACCTCGACGAGATAAGCGGCAAGATTCCTTTGGTCCATAATATGTGGTTTGTAAGAAAACTGGGGTGCCATTTTCTCAAGACCATTGACCCTGTGCGTTGTCCGAACTTGCCATAGAATGCCGCGCTTGTAGACCATTCCAGACTAAATGCCCATTCCCAAATTTGTAAGATCTGAGAAAATATGCACCGTACATTTATATGTCGAGTTGAGGAACCGGACAAGTGCCCATCCCCCAGTTTTCTGCGATTATCTTTAAATTTTGAGTGGGTGCTTGCCCGGTATTTTACAGTAGTAAAATACCGACTTTTCTTTTTATATTGGGGGGAAGTTACATTGGTACATTGAAATTCTGTGTTTATCGGATGAATCCGAATTGATGAAAATTTTACTGCCGAGCGTTTTTCTGAGCTTCCAGAATTTATCAGAAAACCCAAAACCCTAGTTATAAGAGCAGATATCACGAATAATTTGTACGTACTAAGTATATTGGACCATCTCTGCAGATGAAATAATTGGTTAGTTACGGAATTTTTATTTCAAATTCATGGCATTTCAAACGGTGATAAAACTGCTTCACACATGTATATATGTGCACCGTTCGGACACTGTTAGTGCAAACACTGCGTCAGCACTTTCCAGCGTGGGGAATATACGTGCCAAACGAACGAAGGACATGTCGAAAACCAAGAGAGACGGCAATAACTATGCAGTAACACTGGATAAGTAACTCCCTGTGCATTTACGATCAAACTAAATGGAAGGTCACGTAATGTAGTCCGATTTGCAATAAATAAGTACTGCTTTATTCTTTCTGCTCATGAATATGCGCAAAGATGCTCATTTTGCGTTCAACGTATTACCCGCACGCTCAAAATCTTTGAAAATCGGGAGAAGCCAGAGAGCAGGTGCCCGATAAAAGCTGCTCGGCATAAGAAATAATAAAGACACCTTTCATATTCCACATAATTTATTCTTTACGTTTTGAATGTTTTTAACTGCTCGCAAAGATGCACAACAGGGTCATTTTTATATAGTGACAGGACCCACGCTACCAGCAATATATTGAACACATTTCTACATTTGTTTCAATCATTATTTTGCTTAGGATGGTCGCTTGTTTTTACACACCTGATGTGGAACACAGGTTTGGGCCTGAAATACAGTGAAGTTTAACATTGCTCACTGGTAAAGAAAACTGCTGTAATTGTATCAATTACTCTTTTGCAATGTTAATAAAGGTGCATACTATTTGGTACAATCCAAATAACAAAAGTGTTCCACATTATTTTTCCGCAGACAAAATGCATGCGCGTTTTCCCATTGGAATGCACAGGAGCATCGCAGAAGTAGACTCGTTGCTGTCTGCTTCACTTTGCTTCCCGGAAGTCTCATAGACATTAGCGCCAGTTGAACCTCTAGCGTACGTTATAATAACTCTATGGACACATAAACACAGTCATCTTTCGTTTTTTGTTTGTTTTCGTCTCAAATTTTTTTATAAAATTATTTTTGACTTTTTTTTTTAGCTTATTTATGTTTACTTTTTGGTGTAATTTCTTTCCCACACTGCTAGCACATTCTGATTTAGAAATAAAGTTTTCATGATATGTTTGCTGGAAGTACTCAAAGGCAGGGATGAGTACTAACCACATTTCAATAGACCATTCGCCAAATCCCCCAAGCACCCCTGTCCACACTCGAGGAATTATGGGAACGGTGTTCCTTCTGTTCGCTAGTCATTGATACTTTTGACGAATTCAATGCTTACACATTTTTTACTGTAATCTGTAGTCGTCCTGTATATGCGTCGTGTAGATTGCACAAACCTGTCATATAATTTTTAAGATTTCTCGTCAGTGTCAGCATTTATCACACTGTATATGCAATCCACCCTTCAACCTAGCTGAGTTGAAGAAATCTCTTACAATATTATCAGTCTTGTGATTGCTGTTTTAGCAGCAGTTGCTTGAAAAGCCAAGAATTCATAACAACCAAAACCAGGACTTAGCTCGGAGTCAGCGGGCCCATTTATAGCATTTTTAGCATATCCAAGTTAATATCGGAGTCTTTGAAGCTGTACGAGAATGATAATAATGTAAAAGATTTCTGGCAGCTCAGCCAGGTTGAAGGGCGGGCTGCATGCACAGTATCAGCCTGCGGAACTCCATTCCCGTGATTTCTCGAGTGCATGCCGGGGCACTTGGGGGATTTAGCTAGTGGTCTACTTGTCTAGCTTTAGTGCTACTAGCTACATGAGAAATGTGTAGTGAAAGTTGCCAGTTGACCACATCACGGCAAACAAGTTATAACTACTTCCATAAATGGATAGAAAAAGTCCTCTAGTTTCTCTTGTCACTTCAGGACTGGTTGATGAGGTCCTACCTTAAACAACTTGCAGCACGACTGTGACAGTGGCTTTATTGCAGGGGTGTGGTAAGTTGTACAAGTTCACCTGCTCCTTGCACACCCGCATGCTTTTGTTTACCCCCTATCTAAGCCAATGATGAGGTGTGCTCGACTCCCTTTTCATCACACATTCCCTGGGACATTCTCTGTATTGCCCTTTAATTGCAGTGCATTCCGATGCACCAAAAACACTTTGGAACACTTCACCATATAAAAAAATGTGAGGCAAATATGTGAACCCTACTCAAGTTGTTTCTGATTAACCTCGAATCTACATATTGTGCATTGTTTTTAGAGAGTATTGGTAGGTTGTTCTGGTAACTCCAGTAACGGTAGCCAATATCCTGCCGGCGCCTTCAGATACGCATCATATCGTTATCCGGTATCGGTGTCAAAGTATCGAATTTTGGTTTTGATGTGGAGAGAAGAACAATATTAAAAAGTAAAGTAACCCATGTCTGCTCCTACTGTTAGGGCTGCATACGTAAAGCCAACTTAAAATAAATGAACAAGGGAAGTGTACCAACTAAGAAAAAATAATTCTTTTCCTTTTTAATGCCAATTAAAAGAGCAAAAATGTAGCTAATGAGACTTCAGCCACAGAACATGCCTGGTCATTGGTTGTTGTTACCTTTAAAAAAAAATTTGTTTTCCTCCGGTTGTTTCGAGCTTGTCTTCGTACACAACGATCTCCTAACTCTCCCTGTTACGGCATTAGCCGAGCACGCGAAATAAATCGACGCGTGACCGAAGAAAGGTAACATCATGGCCGTCCTTCGCAGGCCATGGAGCTGTTCAAGGGCAAGACGCTGGTGAAGAAGGACGGCAGCGAGGTGCCTGCGGAGCAGGTGCTGTCCGGCAAGAAGGTGGTGGGCCTGTACTTCTCGGCCCACTGGTGCCCCCCGTGCCGCATGTTCACGCCCATCCTGGCCGAGGCCTACGAGGAGGCCCAGGAGGGGGACGAACCCTTCGAGATTGTCTTCGTGTCCTCCGACCGGGCCGCCTCCGAGATGCTCAACTACATGAAGGAGAGCCACGGCAACTGGTGCGGCCTCAAGCACGGAGACCCCCTCGTGCAGTGAGTGCAGGCCGCTTTCTCTCTCCAGGTGCATGAGCGTTTACCGAAGTCCTCGTCGCAACGCTATGGCGACACTGCGGAAGAAAGGACCATTTAAAAAAACATCCGAAGCCAAAAATTTTTTCTTTTTACACGCACGTTAATGAATTGATAGTGACAAACAATCTGATGGTTATGAGGAAAGGAATGTTGTCGGCGTGGAATCGAGAACGCAACAGCCGCAGTGCCCGTAACATGTCTCCGAGCAACGCGTTTACCGTGTCCTCGTTCGTAGTCCCCCGATTTTCGCCTGACGACGTCGCGCTTGTGTCGTGTTGTTGCCCGTCGTGATGCCGGCGAGGGCTCGGAGGTGGGTGTGGCAGGCAGCCCTTCCGCTATAGGTTCCTTTCCAGCTTGACAGTGCACTGAAGCAACCTACAGCAGAAAAGGCATTTGCCATATCCACCTCCGCCGCTGTTCCAGCGCCACGATCCTGGAAGGCAACAGCCTGACAAAAGCGCAATGTCATTGACCAGAAATCTGAAGGGTCGCGAGTGAAGGCACAGTAAACAAATCAGTCGGAGGTACAGTCCATGAACTGCAGTACCGCCTTCTCGACGCATCCAGTCTTTTTGGTGTTGGCGACAAGACGCCGGTAAATTACTGGTGAGTGTACCGAGTATGACTGAGAAAACGCAACCAGGTTTTTCGGCCTGCATAAATAAACTATGCATCGCAGAAAGCTGAAACTCTGTGAGAAAGTGACGCTAGCAGTGTTGATAAAATGCGAAAGTTTGAGCATATTACGTTAGCTGGGAAAATCAAATGCTCTATGAGCCGACTCCACCTGAGCCTAATTTGCGTCGTACCGATATTTGCGATTGTGGGCGCCTGTAAATTTCATTTCAGTGAAGACTTGTCATTAAAAAATACAGTATTTACTTCCTTAATGACAAGTTTATTCACTGACATGGTTGCTACACATGCCCCCAATCTCAAATTTAAATTTGACGATTATGCTGGACCTCGGCTCATGGGGAATTTTTGTTTTTCTTTTGTTTCTTTTGATCCAGGTAGTGTCATGTGCTCCAACTTTCACATTTTATAACCACCGCTAGCGTCACATTCTCGCAGAGTTTCAGCTTCCTGAGACGTGCAAGTTAATTTGTGCGGTCCGAAAAACCCGGTTTTATTTTCTCGATCGCACCCAGTATTTACACCAGTTTCGTGTAACAAAGTGGATACCTCAAAGCCGCATCAGTTTCGTGATTGCTAGAGCGAGCGGGCAAGGGCGATCATGGACCGCGAGTTTTGCAGATGGATGTTCTTCCTTGTCAAGGTACACATTCCTAGCAGTTGAGGGGGCCACTTGCAGAAGTTGGATATCTGCTCTAAATACTCCTTCCTGGTTGCTGCTGCAAAAATGGATTTACTACTTATGTACTCGAAAGGGTGAGGGGCAGGTTTGTTACCAGGGGAAACAACTCCCTGCAGAGGACAATAGTCAATGACAGGGTGTTATCAAAAGCAAAAAGCTTGCACTTAAAGGGACAATGAAGACGATTTTAATTAAATATTTTATGTGGTTTTTTTAGGCTTCTTGGGAACCTAGCGCACTGCCCAATCTTTTATAGACATTTTTACTGCGTATTTCTCTGCTTACGAAATAACTGAAGGAACCGAAACTGAACTATCTCCATTCTCATTTTTGGGCTTCCGAAGACTGAGGTGACGTAGGGAGTGACTTCAGGTGTGAATAGTCGGTATCGGTAACATTTAGAAGATTGAGACTGGTTACCGCGGTGGGTTATAGCAGCGTGGTGGCGCAGTCGGTCCCAAGGTAAACACGACACCGACATCTGAAACCAAGACCAAACGTCGGCCGCGTGTTCCGCGCTGTGTTCTTTTTTATTTTGTTTGCCCATAGTTACTCGTTGCCTGTTTCGCGTCCAGCGTAGCAAAGAAAAAAAATTATTGTGCTGTTTTGTTTACGGTTTAAGAAATATTTCCGGTCCGATTTAGACTTTTCATGGCTATTCAAGTGAAAAATGGAACAGTTTTCATGCAAATCGCGAACCAAAACGTAATTGAGGGCACTTTTCTCGTTTCGACCAATCGCTGACGTGTCTCTTGTGACGTCGCGCTCCTGGGCCCTGCAACGTCACACGAACTCCGTTTTTCCTGGCTTCTCCCGCAACTCTCGAGGCATCACCGCAATCAATCCCAGTATGATTATTATCGCGACTGTTTAATTGATTTGCGCGGCACACAAGCGCCGTTTTCCTGCTGAAATTTGGGCAGCGCTGTTAGGGACGTGCCTGGAAACCAGTTCAATCACCAAAAAAATATCCAAAAAATTGCCTTCATTGTCCCTTTAAGGTGAAGGATCTGCTGGGTTCTTATTGTGCTACTGGGCTTCATGAATGTTAGATTTGGAACGTGACTACTGTCCTCTTTGGTCTCATTCGCAGCAGGAGGGACATAAGGGGATAGGTACAAAAGGAATGCTTCCAAACGATTGTTCTGCAAAGTATTGCATATATTTCAACGATATTTGTATAAATTATTGGTAGTCTTTATAAGCATCTAGCCATTCTTTAATATCAATATTTGCACTTTTCTCGCTACCACAAGTGAGACACTTCGTTTCACTAACGTTACAAATTTGTTTTTGGTGTCTTCTTCTTTTTTTTCTCGACTCAGGGAATTAAAGCAGAGGTTTGGCATCTCGGGGATCCCTACGCTGATCGTGGTGAATGAGTCCGGCCTGGTGATCACTTCGGACGGGAGGTCCGACATTTCCAGCGAGGGGCCTAGGGCCTTCGCCAAGTGGCTTGAGGCCGCTTGAGGCGACCTCTTAGCAAGCCGCATCCGTAGCCACGAGCCAGCTCTGCTCCGTGCAGGAGTGCTTTTAACATTTCTGCCGGGTGGGTTCTTTTTTGTTAATGCACGGATGCCACTAAAATTCCAAGAAATGCAAGATTCCACACTACAGAAAGTGCATGGTTCAAAGCAATGCATCTTTGCAAGCAATAGGTTGTGCTTTCTTTCTGCTGGAGAAGTGCAGCTGCTGAGACCAAATGCTCTTTTACCTCTATATTTGAAAGTCCTCACTTGGCAGTGTGTCTTCAAATCCTTGGACCTGCCTCTGATATTTCATGAGATCACATGTTTCCCGGTGTTTTTCTTCTTTTTTAGAGCTTCACTTGTTTTTTGACGATGTACTTAAATTGTTTTTATTTGTGTCTTTTCGATTCACTTGGATCAACGTGCAATGCCACCTGGAAGATCCTCACGATTGGAGACCAAAGCTTGCATTTTCTTTCCAACACTTCTTTTTTTCATTTTTTTTTTCAGAGGGGACATTTGCTCACCGTTGGTCAATGTTGCACATTTAGCAGCTTCTTCCAATCTATGCAGTTGTAATAACTCTGCTACAAACATCCTTGGGCTCTGACATTTTCAGGTTTTATTATCAGTTCCTATACAAGACAAATGTTAGTTCCTTTCTTTCCCCCGGTGTATTTCAATCAAATGATGTCCTTTCTAAAGCCCAAACATTTTGAATGTGCCCATGTATTTACATTTCTGCAGTTGATTTCTGTTGTTCAATTATGCTTTTTTTTTTCTTTTGTGAAGAAATATGGATTTAGTGGCTTAATTCTCTTACCAACCCATTTCATTACAAATGTAACTTGTGAGCCAAAGCCCTTTTTACCACGAAAGACATGGTACCTCAACTTGCTACTGTTTTTGCCATGAAATGTGTTCTTACCAAGAAAAGTTTTAACGTTGCGAATGCAGTTTCGCTCAGGGCCAAGGTTGTCTTCCACAGAGCTAGGTATTTTAGCTGCCGTTTCCTGTAAACTGCGCCGGTGTTTTGCTGAAGTCTAATAAAGCTATATTCCGCAGTTCCCAACGTGCAAATTGAGCATGCATTCTCTGGGCCTCAATGCCAACGTGTCGCGGTGTTGAAAGACCACAGGTTATCTCAATGCCTTCTCTAATCCTGACAAGCAGCTGAGAGATCGCACAAAAGAACTATCCACAATCACACCTCTGTGCTTGATGGCAGATATTTTTACAGATTGGTGTTGGACTGGTGGCGGCTGGTGAAACTAAACTGAGATGTTGATTTGGGAGCATATGTATGTTTGGGAAGAGTATGGTACGTACACTACCCAGGGATAGGCTGGAGAAGGAATCACAATGTGCTAGTTGCTTGTGAATATCCCTTTTGTGACGAGATGGGGTCACAAGAACAACTAATGTTCATTTCATCATTTATGAAAAAAAAACCTTATATCTGAATTAATCTTTTTCTCAAAAATTTAGAAAGTGTGAAACAAAGAGCTGTGTGTGCCAGGAGAAGAAAGATAAAAATAAACTTGGTCCCTTCTGTGAGCACAGAGACTACAGCACATCTCTTGCACGCACAAATGTGCCCGGTGCAACCTCGCTGTCAGTTTCACTAGCATCTAAGTTCCAAAGAGCCAGGCTGCCCTCGAGACGAACATGCTGCAGACAGGTCCGTACAAAACGTTGCAAGAAGCTTCTGTCGCAAGCTACGTTCGTTAATTACTACACGGAGACACAGCATAAAATGTATTATGTAACCTTTGACGAGAAGCTTCACTGCAAAAGAAGACTTTGGTGCCTCTTCATCTGGTTCGAGCTGACAGTTATCTCGCTATCGGCCAAAATCTTGCACACTTCCCGTTTTCCTACCGTTTAATCCTCTTTGTGTTTCGTTTTCGAAAAGGTTCCGAACAACATAGAGAGCTCACATTTTCAGCGAAGGTGTATTTTAATCCTGGATGCATTCCTGTGAAGTTTCTAGGCGTAGCTCTGTTCTTGTAAAAAGTTATGACAAACAATCTTGAAAATTTCAAAAAAGCGTCCGCTCCGCCATATAGACAGAGCTTACCACCGGTGGATGCGTTCGTCAGCATTTAATTACAGTGAAGCTGAAAAAAAAAAAGCTCGATAACATGAATTAATTTTTTGATTGGGCTAATTGGTTCATATTTAGGAGACACCAGCTGAACAACCCAAGCACACAAATGTAAGAAGGACGAGAGAGACGCATTCAACCGCTGGACTACCAACTGAAATTTAATGAAACACTTCATCTTCATCGACAAGCTAGGATCAATCATACCTAGCTTGCTTCACTTCTTCCTCTTTTTCCTCATTATTAAACTAAGGCATCCTCCTCGTCTGTCTACTTGTGGGCGGTACTTCCCCTCGCAAGAACGTTCTCTCTTCTCTGGTTAAGGTCACAGAGGGTGAACTAACACACATGTCCCCTTTCTCTTGTATGTTTAAAGCTTCTAAAACCTCGCGTGCAAACCGGTTTCGATGGTGCCCCATGACGGTAACTTTGTCTAGGTTCGCCTTGCACTTGCAGTCGCGGCAATGTAGGGCTAAGTGACCTGCTGCCGTCAAGGTCTTCAAGCTATTGTCATGTTCCCGAGTCCTATCATTTATACACCGCCCGGTCTGGCCGATGTAACAGCGGCCGCATGTCAGGGGTATGTGGTATATAACCTCCTTGTCGCACTGGGCATAAACCGTCCTGTGATTGGTGCCACAAACCTTGCTGTTGCTGGTTTGCCCTTGATTAACCCTGCGGCACAACGAATAGGCCTTATTGGGCGCCGAACACAGCACTTGTACCTCATGTCGATTGGCCATCTTTTTTAACCTATGCGTAATCCCATGAATATATGGAACAACCACAAACGGTCTACTTTTCTTTTTTTGCTGTGTGGAAGGGTCGTTGCATCCGCAAGTCTTCTTGATGGTGCGGCAAATTCTTTCGCACACGGAGGCAATTACATGTCGCGGGTAGCCCGCGTCTTCGAGTCTGGATATTTGCAACTCAAAGCTTCGGGAGAGCTGATGCTCACAGGATTTCTTCAGGCTAGAAAACAGGGCTGTGAAAGCTACCGCCTGCTTAACAGTTTTTGAATGCTGCGACGAGAAGGGGAGAAACCCTTTGCCTGAACGGGCTTGGTATCTCCAGCAAACATGTTCTGCTCTGAACTCCAAGACCAAATCTAGAAACTTGATGATTTTCCTCTTTGGAAGCTCATGCGTGAAAGTGAGCCCCATACATGAGTGCTGAAAACTCCTCAGGATGTTGTTGAGGCACCCGTCGATATGATCGTCAACTTCTGTAGTGCATAAAATGAGGAAATCATCGACATACCTAAATATCGCCGCGATTCTTGGATCTTTAATACTTTCTTGGATGGCACGCCCGCACGCTCCGAGAAAAACTTCACACAGATGTGGGGCCACTTTGGATCCTATGCATACGCCGCTTCTCTGCACGTAGTGGCGATCTTGGTAGGCTACCACCGTGGCTGATAGGTAATAGCCCAAAAGTTCTAAGAAGGTATCTACTTGCATCCCTGCCGCATTCTGGAATGACGTGAGGCCTTGATCTTCTATGTTTGACTGAAGAACTTGTAGTAGACGTGCATGCGGGATGGAGTAGTACATATCTTGAACGTCCACGGAAAACCCAGAAACGATGATGTTCCCTTTTTCTTTAAGAAAAGAAACCACATTTTCAGAATTGGAAATCCGGAAAGGGTCTTGCATCGAAACAAGGTTTATCTTTTCGGTGAGAAATTTGGACACGCAAGCTTGCCACGTGTTCCTCTCCGAAATAATTGCCCGGAACGGACTTCCCTCTTTGTGCGTTTTGACGGAGAAGAACACCGTTAACTGGTCAATCTTGGCTGCCTTGATCTTGGAGCACAAACCCCCTTGATGATTTTTCCCTAGTATCGTGAGAATGGCTCTTTTTGTTACTTTAGTTCTATTGACATCCACCGGAACGAAATTCTTGTCCATGGCTTGAAGAGCTTTCTCTCCAAAAGCCCCTGAGTCAAGAACCACAAATCCTCCTTCCTTATCGGAAAGGCAAAGTTTAAGATCTTTGCCTCTCAGTTCTTGTATGGTCGGTCCGAAGCTCAGACGTGGGAGGGCTTGATGCTTAAGGTTTGAAAAAACCTGAATTCCTTCATCAATGACCTGCGGGCTTCTTTCATGTGCTGCTTTGGCAGCTATGTTCCTTACAAGCGCTACTTGGTCAACGGCTTCAAGCTTAGGCGCAATGGCATATTTTGGTCCGTGCCCCAAAACATGTTTAGCCCGCGCAGTTAGATCAAAATCCCCAATTAAATGGGGTGGAGACAATTTTGGATTCGCTTGGTTTTGGCGATGTAAGGACAGATGACGACGCCATATCGGAAGAAAGCGTGAAACCCAAAGGAAGTTTGTAGTATCGGTGGTCGTCCTCAGGTAATAGGAAAAGGCAGAGTGATTTGGGCATTTGACACGTAAAACGTCAGTAAGAAGACGCACCTGCCGCCATTTTTCAGACCTGAGTATCTTCGAAACCCGCTGGGCGTGTCCCTGCGATGGCTGAACCGCTCCGAAGAAAGCCTGCACATCCTCCAGTATGATTTTCTTTTGTATGCAGCGTGTGAGCAATCTGGCTTGGCAGATGTTGGTTGCAATGAGGAGGCTTAGTCCCGCCGAATCGATGAGGTGAAAATTGAACATGAAAGAGCTCAGGTAACTAGAAAGGAAACTAACCACCGGAAAGAGTTGAGCACGTTGGTTACACATATTTAGGAGACACCAGCTGAACAACCCAAGCACACAAATGTAAGAAGGACGAGAGAGACGCATTCAACCGCTGGACTACCAACTGGAATTTAATGAAACACTTGTTTCATTAAATTGAAACACAACATTAAATTGAAACACAACAGAACACAAAACACAACAACAATAATCAAGGGCAAACCAGCAACAGCAAGGTTTGTGGCACCAATCACAGGACGGTTTATGCCCAGTGCGACAAGGAGGTTATATACCACATACCCCTGACATGCGGCCGTTGTTACATCGGCCAGACCGGGCGGTGTATAAATGATAGGACTCGGGAACATGACAATAGCTTGAAGACCTTGACGGCAGCAGGTCACTTAGCCCTACATTGCCGCGACTGCAAGTGCAAGGCGAACCTAGACAAAGTTACCGTCATGGGGCACCATCGAAACCGGTTTGCACGCGAGGTTTTAGAAGCTTTAAACATGGGCGTACCAACCGGGGGGGGCAAGGGGGGCACTTGCCCCCCCAGTTCTCAGAGTGGGGGGGCAAGGCATGCGTTTTGCCCCCCCTGAAACGGCCGCCACTGGGCAGAGCAGACACAGGCCGGCGGCGCCCAAGGAATACCAAGGGCACTGCCCCCCGACCCGCGCGGGCATATTTTTAACGCGCAGGCGATACAAACCCTAGCAACGGTGCTCACGCACGCCGGATTGGCTGGTTTGTGGAGCCTTGCCCCACGAACAAGGCTACACGGTAACCTAACGGAATCCATCCGCGAGACATGGCCCGGACGGGCCGTCCAGACCAGGACGTAGGCCCTTACACAAAATAAAGTTTTGCTTGCTTGCTTGAAGATAGGCGCTGCCGCCGTCAACATAGGCAGCGGATGCAATGCGAGTTTCCGAAGAGGTAGCGTAACTTAGTGGTGAGATGTCTGCCTCATACGTGTCAGACCCGGGTTCTATTTAGGGTGTGGGCCGGCTTACTTCTTTTTATTTTTTTTCTCGAACATTTTGTTTTGTCGAGGCATTTGGCGATATTTACATTTCTTTTTTACCATTAACACTAAAAAAACGAATGTTGTTGACGAAACATCGCTAAACTAAATCGTATCGACTCTATTTACGGAAGTGCATGGGGGGCAGCGGGGCTTGGGTTGCCTACCGGACGCCGCAAAGCGGCGTGTACGGGGGGTGGGGGGCTAGGTGGGTTAATAGATTTGTAATTAGCAGCCGCACACCGTCACCGCGAAGCGGCGTGAACGCAGGCGCGGGGGTGGGTTAACGCGCTTC